AACACCCCCGGCTGTCGCAGGCTCTCTTAGTGTGGGAACGGATGAAACAGACAACGAAAGCCGCAGCTCTCGGCTGGGGGGGAGAACACTGGCCACCCATCCCACCTCTGGGCCTTCCTGGGCAGTTGCAGACCACGTACAAGGGGACAGAGAGGCCACTGGGAGGACACAGGGCCAGGCTTTGCAGGGAGCGCTGTGAATAGTCACCTGGGTCTGCCATCGACGTGGGGGTCTCCCAGGACACACGGTACGTGACCTGACGTGGCGCTGGCAAGTTAAGGACGACGTCCAGGCTGAGCGTCCACCCGCCCACGTGGCTTTTCTTTTTCCTCTCCAGCTCAGCGTCTCCCCTCTTCGGGAAGGGGGGTGTGTATTTGACTTGACAGTCAATCTCAGTGGCTGACGCCATTGGTTCCACTGAGAGCGAGAGCGAATACACTGTTGATCTCCACCGCTGGGATTACTATTTAATTGTTTTTCAGTTTTCACATGGAGGAAAAAGGTGCCTTTTGTTTTTCCCTTTGGTGCGTGGTGAGGGTTCAGGCAACCTTCCAGCTCCCTTCTCTTTTCCAGCTCAAGTGCTCCTCCATTCTCTCCTCTCCTGTCCTCCTGCGTCCCTCCCTTCCCCCAGCGGCGCCATGGCCCTTCCAGCAGCCTGGGCAGTCTCTTTTCTGTCCCATTCTCCCAGGCCATTCACATCGTTCTCGGGAGAACATGAAGGAACATCCCTGGGGGCCCTGTTTGGTGACCCTGGGAGGAACCAACCTCCACCGGCACTTCTGGGCTGCAGGCCATCTGCACAGGTGGCAGCCCAGCCGAGCACGTGGGCAGGAGCTGGCCCTCCTCTGCACCCGCAGCCCAGCCGAGCACACGGGCAGGAGCTGGCCTTCCTCTGCGCCCGCTCCTCCAGGTGTTGATGAGCTGGTCGGTGGCAGCTCCAGGACGCTCCCGACTCAGCAGCCCCTGCAGAGAGAAGACCCACTCTGATGTGTCCCCCAACCCCCGGGGGTGCTCGGATTGGCTCACATGGATACTGTGGGGCACCTCAGGCTGGCATCGTGATGGGGAGACCAGGCCTATGGGGACCAAGACCTGGCGGTGTTCGCTTCCCAGAGCACCCGGAGTCCGGTGCTGGAGGACACACTCCATGACCCAGTCAGCCCCGGGCAGGCTCAACCTGGCTGCCCTGCTCCGTGGCTGGCTGAGGTCACATGGGGCCTGGGTTAGCTCCTGGCATCCCCAGAAAGCCAGGTGAGGGGTGGCTGCCTATAGTCGCAGACCTTGGAGGCTGAGGCCCGAGAGTCAAGGCAAAGCAGGCCCCTGTCTACGGGCGCACTGCGGGGAGGATGCCCCGGGCAGGGGTCCATCTGGGATCTCATATGGCAACGCCCAGTGAGAGAGACGGCTTCGTGAACTTCATGTCATGTCTTTCATGACAGCGAGCAAGACAGGTACCCTCGTGGGGTCCCGCCATGTGCCACACACCCCAGCAGCCAGGGGCATGGCACACGGGGCACACAGCTGTGCTCAGGTCGACCGGGGACCAAGCTAGGGCTCCTGGGGGCCCGTATCGTGCAGTGCCACATAGTGCCACAAGGTGCCACCACAGCTGACCAGGTGACTGCATTGAAACATCGCCCGTACACTGTGGGTCGCGCCCTTTCAAAGCGCACGGTGCGGCGGTGTGGGGCGCACCCACGGAGCAGAGCAACCCGTGTGCCAAGTGTAGCCCATCTCCACCAGCTCAGAGAGGAGAGTCCTTGTACCTCCCCTGGTCACTGCCGGGGAGGCAGAGGCTGGAGGGGAGGGAGTGTCCTTCCGTGACCGGCGACAGGGAGACCCGCGGCAACGCCATGATGTCCCGAAGCTCCACCCGCCCAGTGCTCACACAGTCAGGATAGAGCGGGGGCCAGCCACTGGCACTTCCCTCCACCAGAGCCCCTGGGTCCTGAGGGGTCACCCTGACCCTTCGACTCCCCACACTCGAGCAGGCCTCCCCGATCGGCACTGGCTGGGGTCTCCTCGGAGGCCTCCTTCATTTCAACTGGCGTCCGTCTTGCCGGCCCCGCGCTGGCCTGCTGCATCCCCTTCCCAAAGCCCTGGAACCAAAATTCAGACGGCCCTGGCCGACCTTTTCTGTGCAGAGAATCAGAAACGGGTGGCCCTCCATGACCGGCTTCCCCCCACGACCAAGCACACACTACCCGCGCCTCCCGTTGCCAGTGGACACAGCCAGTGGTGTTTCCTCGTGTCGCCCATTACGGAGACCTCTCTGCACACTCAGGTGTGGGCCCTGTGGAGAGGTTCTGGTTCCACAGGGAGAATTCCCAGTCTGGACGTGCAGGCACCAATCCGAAGCCGAGAACTGCGAAGCCAGCCAGTGGTTTCTGCACGGGGCGTCTACGCGGACCTGGCTGTGCTTCTTCCTCTAGCACCTGCCGTCACTGCTGTCCACCTGGAAGTGGCCGGGGCCAGAGTGGCTCTGAGGGCCCGACCGTCCCTCAGTCTGCCCAGCATTTTACACACCGAGGACAGCAGGCAGAACGCGAGCTCGGGTGAGGCGGGGTCCACAGCTCAGGACTCGGTCTTCCAGCAGAAGCTAGGCACCCACGTGTCACTAAAGGGCTCGGGAGAGAACTTGAGGTGCCGAGGCCAGGCTTGGCTTCCAGGTTGCATAGCGACTTTCCGGCCGGAGCAGAGAACCTTGTAGTACCCCAGTGTGAAGCCAAGGGGACCCACGCTCTCCACGGCACAGACATGCAGCTTGGAGGCTGCCAGCCCACGAATGCCTTCCCTGCCTCCCTGCCTCTGCCGAGCAGTTCCTGCTGGTCTCAGAGGTGTCCAGGTCCCCCGAGACCATCCACACAGCAGCCTGGGAGTGCGATTTGTGGCCCGGCCCTAAAACGCAGGAGGGTGGACATGGCCCGGTCCTAGCAGACCACAGCCAGCCTGGATTGCCACAGGCCACGGCATCTCACGGACATCCATGAGAACCTTAGGGTGACACGGCTCTCTGGGGCATGTCAGGTCACGGCGTCCTCGACTGCCACGTGACCCAGCACCCTCCTGGCCACCACGTGACCCAGCACCCTCCTGCTACCAAGCGGCTACCAACTTGCCAACATGCAAACACAGTCACCCTGGTTTCATAACTCATGTTTTACTCTAACAAAGAACGGAATGTAGACTCTGATAGGGTTCAAACCCTGGCAGGTGTGAGCTGCTGCATTTGTGACCCGGGGCAGGGTCTGTGCCGTCTCTGTCTCAGCTTCTCCATCTGCAGGTGACGATAAGCATGATACCTGCTTTATGGGTGTGGGTAACGACGAAGGCTAAAAGCTACCGGAGGCGAAGGGCTGGCCCACACTAGCTCAGAGCGGTGTTCGCTGGAGGAGGTGTTCGGGAGGACCGACGGCAGCACCGTTCAGCCACATTTGGGGAAATTCTACCCCTCGTCACCGCCAGTCCCCTCTGAGAGCTCTGGGTTTTTGCCCTGGTCTGTATTTATGCTTGAATAACCATTGTACCAGCCCGGAGGTAAGGTGTCGGCGCCCATGGCCGCCGGCTCTGCCGGGCTCCCGCCCCGCCTCGCCGTCCTGCCTTGCCTGTGGTCAGAGGGTTACGGCCCATTCTTCAAACTGCTCGTTCGTCTGTGGGGTCACAGCGACAGTCTGGAGGGTCCTGCCCCCTGCCTGGCCCCTGCCCGTTGCACCTCCCAGCTAGCTCCTTCATTGTGGAAATGCTACACTCGATTTCCCGCGTGAGTACTGTGATAAAAACTAGCGGTCACCGACTGCGCTTGCGGAGATCGGTAGCTCAGCCTCGGCAGGCCAGGTACTGCTCCAGAGTGCCCGCCGTCCAGCGGACTCACCGGGCGGCCCGGCAGCTTCCACGTCCGGGCGAGAGCTGGCCGCCTGGCTCTCAGCCGTGATGCCGGGTTCCGCGCTCCGGGCTCGGGGGACAGGAAGACTCGTAGGCGCGTTGGTGTCTCTTTCCAACCCAGCTCTTCCTTTAATAACTGACCTCTCTTACGTGACGACAGCATCGGCCCTGCCACTTCTTTCTGTCCCCTGGCAACCACAGGTGCACGTCGAGTGCTGCTTTGTCTGCGGTCAGCGGTGGAGGCTGGGAGAGCAGTGGGGTTTTCTTGATTTCTGATGATTGCTCTTAAAATAATATTTAAAAACTTTAGTCTGTAGATTTCTTTAGCGTAGTTTTCTCCTAGTCTCCCTTTGAATTTGCTAGCTCAGCTGTATGGGCTGAGACGTGATGACTAAGAAACACGGGGCGAAGGTTTGCAAAGCTTCAGAGAGCATGACTAGAGGGCGTAAGTCCGTGAGGTCGGAGCTAGGATCGTAATCATTCCCATGTGCTTCAGCTCTCATCACGCCAATCGCAAATGGCCTAGTACTTCTGAACGTCCCAATAGGCGTGGATTTTCTGGGTGGAGCAGACGCCCCCGGTCACTCGTCCTCGCTCCTGGCTGGCCTCACCATGGACCCTCCGGGCACCACGCGCCGTGTTCGACCTTCTCCCACCAGCGTCCCCGAAACCGGTGTCTCTGACTGAGGGGCGTATGTCAGCGTGCTCAGTGCTGTCTGTACGGGCAGGGTTGAGGCTCACACACAGAACCGACCTGGAGGTGGGCACGCCCGCGGTGTACAGAGCCACGCGCAGGACACCTGGGGGAGCCCTTTCACACTTCGATTGCGAGGTGAGGCCAAATCTAAGTTCTAATTCCACTTATTTTATGGAATAATCTGCCCTTTCTCTTTCCAGAACAGCTGCCAATTATTCAGCTGTTTTGCCTTTCGAATCCATGCAGCAGAGTTAGCTCTCCGCCCCTGTGATTTCATGGCTTATTTGAACGCGGTTTGTCAGGAAAGGAGCCAGGTAGGAGGCCCCGGCCAGGGGAGGGCTGAGCTCTGCATTCGTATCCGCACTGCGCGGAACCATCGGGGACGCTGCGATCATTTTTATTCAAGAGTAAAGGGGCACTGGAAAACACGATTGTTTCAAGGTAATCATTAAGTTTATTTTAAAAAGGAAAGGAGAGTTCTGTTGGTGTTCCGAGAGGAAAGACACCCGCTTGCCGTGTCTTTGGCTAACTCGTGCGGTCCTCAAGGAGAATGTGAGCCCGGGCTCCTTTGGTAGGGCTTACCGCAGTGAGACAGAAGTGAATAAAATGATTTTCGGGAGGTGAAATTCTGAATAATAAAGTAAAGATTCAGGTGGCGATATTGGTCCCCCAAGTACTGGTATTTAAACTTCGAAAATCAATCAAGGAAGAAGATTAAGTGGTGCTTCCTTGGTGCTAAAAATGTAAAGCTGAGACCAAATTGTTCTATTTTCACAGATTTAAGATACAAAGGATGATATTTAAAGACACTAAAATGGCTATCAAATTCTCTCCGATTGGTAAAGAATCTCCTATGAAGCGCACTTAGAATAAATCCCTGAGCACATTCAATACTCGGTGAGTACTCGCGCCATAACCGAGCGGCGATCAGAGGGTGGTGCGCGCCGCTCCGCACCCGGGGAAGGCAGAGGAGGAGCGGAGTCCGCGGCCTCGGGCTTCAGCCGTCCTGGCGCCAGTCCAGAAACCACTCCCGGATGGCGGCTCTGTTCCGTGCCAGCCACGCGATGTTGTTCCTCACCGTCTCCAGCACCTGCTGCCTGGGTGTTTCTCCTGCGCCAGCCTCTGGGTATTTTGCGAAAAAGCTCTCCATCTGGAAGAGAGAGGAACGGCAGGAAGTCGTCCACGCCGCAGGGCTCCGAGGACGGCTGGGGTCCGGCGCCCGCGTCACCGCCTGGCCCGAGCTCTGCCTGTCTGTGCCCCTGCGGGCTCCCTGGGAAATGGGGCGGGGGGCAGGACGACTCTCCCCGCCTTTTCGGTACATTTCAGTCACTATTGAGCAGTCATAAGGAAATCTGACTAACTGGACCCTAAAACTCAAGCACGATATTGTTATTTTAAAAACCAGAATATGTGGTTTCTTAATATCCAGAAGACTCTTAATGTTCCAGCATGTAACTCAGATGGGCCCCCTACCTGCCCAACGCTAAGGGATGCCTCCCACCCCACCATGCCCTGGAAATCGAGATCCCCGAAAACTTTGGGGCTAGTTCTGAAATTCCAACACTATGAATTCTGACGGGAATAAAATCTTGGCCATCTGAGTCTCAGGAAGAGAGAAACTGGTGCTTCGGTGACCTGCAAGGCAACTTCCAGGCCCCAGGGCCTCCCCTCTCTCAGCTTTTAAACTTTGTTTCTTGATCATTCAAATCTTTTTCAGTTTAGAAAATGATAGGTGTTTATTTTATCAGATAGAATTATTTATCACTTCACTATATAAGGGAGCTTCAAAAAGTTCATGGGAAATGTATATTATGAAAATACACATGAATTTCAAAATTTTTTTGCACCCAAATAAGTGCAAAAAAAATTTTTTTTTTGGAGAGGTTTTTGCTACAGGGCGCATGCACTCGCCAGACAGACAGAGACAGACAGAGAGACAGAAAGCGAGAAATCATCCCCCGGGGGGAATGACCACGTCGCAATCTCTTCTCCTCCATTCTCCTCTCAGGATCTTGGGCACACACGCACACGTGCCTGGTGTGAGTTTAAGCCACCGGGTCTGGGACTCAAACCACGGTCAACTACATGGGAATCCAGTGACATAGCCATCACACCAACTGCTGGTCCCTTTAATTCCATTTTCCACCAACATTTTGCAGTTCCCCTGTACTGATCAGCTAAGTGTTAGGTCATTGTGCAAAAAGTGTGTCATGACTTTCCTGGCAACCTTAGGTGCTAAGCCTTAAATGTGAGCATACAATTAGAACACAAGCAAAAGCACAAAGAATGATTTCCTCCTCGTTGTCTTCTATGATGTGAGCGGAGAAGTGCCACGTCCATCTGGAATGAAGACCTGCCCCCTGCCCCCTGACGACTGTGGGGAAACCGCCTTCCCACCTGCCAGAGCTGCAGCTCGGTGTTGAAGGGCTCTGTGATGGTGACGATGCGGCCGAGGTTCCGGTCGTTGAGCGTGTACCTGAGGACGCACAGCGAGAGCGCGTGAGTGCCCGGAGCCTCGCCGTTCCTCTGCATGCCGGCGGCTCATTTCCACTTGGTGCATTTTAAAAAGTAATTTTCAAAGTAAGGAAACACTTGTAGGGCCGGCTCCTGGGAGCCAGATCCCAAACGGCCGACCGAGGTTGGAACCTCAGCCCTGGCAGCTGGAAAACACGGTGGGTGTGTGCGGCGTGGCCACCGTCCTGAAGGGTGAAGGAAGGAGGCAGGTTGCCGTGTGACACGTGTGTGCGGGGGCACTTCTCGTCACTCTCTGTCTCTCTCTAGCGGGGACATCCACCATCCGGCAATTTAAAGAAAAAGGATCAAAGAAAACCTGCGTAACCTGAAATCATCCCACAGTGTAACTTCCGTACTTTCCGTGGACAGACTCAACCCGACAGGCCGGCCAAGCGGGAGTATGCCCGCACGCTCGTGCAGGGGTGAGCGCGTGCTGCCCCCCACACACTGCGTCCCCCAAGGACTCGCAAGCGGGAAGCTGGGCCCTGGTGAGATGATGGTGAGGGTGGCACTCGGCAGGGGTGTTGGCACGAGGGTGCCGCCCGGTGTGTGAGCTGTACCGTCTCGGGAGGGAGGGTGCCCGCACTAGCGAGGCCGAGGGCCGGGCGAGGCCCCGCCAGAGCGGGCTCTGTTAAGAGGAGGCGTGCCCCAGCTCTTTCTGCAGCCCGCTGGCCTTCTGGCCTCGGCCGGCGTGCGGGGACACTCGCCCACACCCCTGGCCGTTCCAGCCACCAGGCACGCACCTAGTAGTGCTTTATAAATGACCCGCTGTCACGCGTTTCTGCTTCGCGACACAGAATGGACTGAAACGTGTTGCAAAAGGAAACAGATAAAATGATGTCATGGCACATGACCTTCAGGGTGCGGGGTCCGGGGCCCACTGCTCTCACAGATGCCACTGAGTTTAAGTCCATCCTTGGGGTCATTGGTCACCATCCAATCTGACCCTCTGGTACCGCCATCCCTGGACCCGTGCACCTCCGGGCTCCAATCCCCAACCGCTCAGACCCTTCTGCCAAGCCCCAAGGGGCTGTCCCTTCACAGGGACCTTAGAGAATGTTGGTCTCACACCCTTTGCAGCCCAGCTCAGGAAATGGGGCCCATGTGCTGAGACTCTCTGGGTCACGAACTCCCCACGCCCCTCTGCTTTCTTTAAAGTAAAACAAGGCACTTCACTTTCCGACGGAAGACCCCTTAGTGCCCTTTTGTTGCTTCTAGAAGGAGAGCCCAGATCGTCACATGCTGCAGCTTGGGTGCTCATCTGCCCTTCTTCCTGACAGCCATTCTAGCCCTCGCCCTCGCTCCCCCTGGGCTCCTGGCCTCCCTCAGCTCAGCCCTCACTCCCTTAGGGAAGCGGTCCTTGCCCTTCACACTCTCCACCTCCAGAGGGCGCCCTGAGCCTCGCTATGGCACTGGTCACAGGGTTACTGCATGCTCAGCCTCTTCCTGCAGGCGTCTGTCACTAGTCCCAGCTCAGGGAGGAAGACTCCGGACCCTCGGGCCAGGCACGATGCACGCAGTAGGTACTCTGCGGAACCTGCCAGGTGAAATCTGTCATTAAGACAGTTACCAGTTTCATCCATTCCATTAGCGTGCACGTGTAGAAGTATGCAAAAAACTGTTGGAAAGGGTTGGAAAACAGGCAATTGTTAGTAACATTTTCTGGATGGAAATTCTCCAACGTTTACCAGAAATCTTAAAAATAAACACATCCTGGGAACAGCAGATGGGGTAATGGCTACGTCGCTGGACTGCCACGTAGTCGACTGTGGTTCAAGTCCTGGACCTGACAGCTTGCTCTCTCACTTTCCCTCTCTCTCTTTGGTCAAATTTAAAATAACAATAATAATAAATAAAATGAAATGAAATTAAAAAAAAAAAAGATAGGGGGCTTTGATTTGAACCTAAGTCTAGAAATTCCCATTTAGTTTTTGTCAACTATTCATTGAAAACTAAGTAAGTTTCTGCCTCATGCTAGGTGCTAGCACAACTGGCAGAATGATATTAACTTGTTTTAACAAAGGTAAACATCATGCCACTCAGAGTCTCCCCAGATCCCAGCCGTCTGCAGAAGATCTAGAAACAGTAACACCCAGGAGGGGCTGTGCCTCAAATTACCCCGCACTGCTGTTCTGGAAGGAAGTATTAATACCCTGACCCGTTACTTCCAACAAGATGCCATTTCAGACACTGTCTAGACCCCAGAGGAAGGGATCGAAGAGAAAAGGATCCACAGGCCCGGACGGGGACAGGCCACCCACAGGCCCGACGGGGACAGGCAGGCCGAGCACGGCCCTCCCACCTGCCGACGAGGTAGTCCCAGTTGAGCTGCACCCAGTGCCAGGCCATGGTCTTGCCGTAGCTGTTGTACGAGATGTAGCGGATGACGGTGAACACGTCCTGAGTCTTGATGAGGGTGGGGTCCTTGAGCAGGTCCAGGTACCTACGAGAGGTCAGACGGAGGGACGCTCAGACAGACTGCTCCTTGTCCACCCTGCTGATCCTCGCACAGCACAGATTCCGTCCCAATGTGATGCAATTAATTAGATTGACAAGTCATGCAAGAATTTAAAACTGTAGATGTATTTACCTGTTTGTAAAGAACAACTTATGATTTTAAGACTAGTAAATTAAATTTTAGGAACATTTAAAAGAAATACATTATTTCGAAAATACTAAATACAGAGATTTTAAATATTAATCTTTTAGGATAGTACTTATTGAGTAGAAGCTCTGCACTTACTAATCTGTTACCTCACTGAATCAAAAAAAAAAAAAAAAGGAGCCAGTAAATCAAGAGATATTGTTTTCTGTAAGATAAGAGTTAAGGGCTGGCCCTGTGGTCTAGTGGTTAGGGAGCTGGATCCCACATGCCTAATTACGTGGCTGGAACCCCACCCCTGGTGTCTTGAACTCCTCCATGCACCTGTGCCCGGACCGTACCGGGGTGCAGAAATGAAGGTGAGACTGCGACATGGCCACTCGCCATCGCAGGGCGCCTCCCCCCTTTTCTCCCTCTGTGTCTGCTCAGCGCACGCCCTCTGGCAACCCCTCCCCAAATAATAATAATGATGGCTTGTTCTTGCCTAGCTGCAGAGAAAGGCCCTTCCAGTGTAACCTCTGTGGTTAGATCAGCTGGCACGAGCGCAGCCCAGCAGGAGCCGAGGCTGGCCGCTCCTGGGCAGGTTGCACGGAGCCCGGCCATGGCCGCACAGAGAGGGTTCCGGCCCAAGCCCTCATGAGTGCGTGCTGCTATTCCAGAGGTGGTTTCAGGTCAGCACACTCACCCTGAGGAGCACACCTCAACAGAGATGTCTACTGGGGACCGGCGGTCAGCATAATGGACACAGCACTGCACTCCCACGTGGCCCACTGCAGTTTGAGTCCCGGACCCAGCAGCTTAAAACTCTCGCCCAACATCCCGGGAGGAGAAGGGATGCGGTGTGGCCATTCCCCTGGGGGTGATTTCTCGCTCTCTGTCTCTGTCTCTTGGGTGAGCACACACCTCTTGGAAAGACGGAACAGCGGCCTGCCGCCCGTAGGTGGGACGCATCCCTGCTCTCCAGGCCCAGCTGCCCGCTGGCTCCCTGCTCACTGGCTCATCGCCATCTTAGAGAGAGGGCGACTGTGAGGACACGGGGCCACGCTCGACTCGGCTGTGACAGCTTTAGTCAGCCTTCGTCAAGGGAAAGCAATTCCGAAATTACTTAGGTTATTGATTGATTGATTGATTTTAGCAAATGCCAGAGTGTGCACTCACCGGAGACAGAGACAGGGAGGAAGGAGAGAGCACGCTCCCCAGTGAGGCGTGGTCAGGCTGCGCTCAGATGCGGGTGCTGAGGGGGTGGGAAGGCGGGCACACGCACACCCAGCATGTGTCACCGGGGCTGGGATTCAAACCGGTCGGCCATGTGGGAACAGACTGCCCTGGCCACCAGGCTACAGGATTGGCCCATTTATATTCTTATTCAAATATCAAGAGTCAAGCTGTGTGAGACCGGGGAGACCCGAGCTCTAAGGAAAGCCCCAGCCACGTGAGAAATGGCAAAGTCTACCCCCGCAGGCCGAGACGGGCCGTGGCGTGTCTGCCTTTGCGCTGAGCCAAACTGGTCGGGAGGGCAGTGTGGCGAGGGCACCCAGCCTAGAGCAGTGTTCTCGGCTCCTCGTGCCGGTGAGTCCTGCACAGGACCTAGATGCTTTTCCAGCCCAGTGGCAGCGCAGCACTCCGGGAAGACAAATGTCACACCGCACAAGTCCTTTATGAGAGAAGCAAGTGCCCGGGGCCACCGCTGTCACCGCTGGGCCAGACAGAGCTCCCGCAGGTAGACGTGGGCAGGACTCGGTGGACTCTGACCCAGGACCCAAACGGACAAATGTCACAAAGCCATGCCCACGAGGGCCGGGTTCTCTTCCCCGGTCACTGCGGAGGGACCTGCATCTTCTTGCCAGAGGAACGTGACAGAGCCTTCACTCCAAGAGACGCTTTCCGCGGAGGTTCCGGCGTAGCCCTGACTTTACCACCAGTCTGGCAGGCGAGAGCGGGCAACGTGGGCAGCTCCCACGTCACTGGCTTGTCACCCCGTGGCCTGAGGACTCCTAGAAACAGCCAGGTAGGAATAAAAACGCAACGCTTTCTTTGTACTTGCAGTTCTGTGGGTGGACCTCCTCTGTCATGTTCCAGATAAGAAAGGAATTCCGGGGAGACGCGCTGCAGCCTGGCCTGGCTCCAGCCCCGCTTCGGCTCTGGTCATTCGGCTCAGGAAGGCGTAGACGGTTGCAGGAAGGCGCTCAGATGCGGGTGCTGTCTCTTTGGTGACCTTGGTAAGGCCACGAACGCTATTCTGCGGTAGGTGGTGCAGGAGGCAGCAGCTGTATTCACGCTGTGGGAGCCGCCTCGACGCGCTCTAGACCACTGACCTTCCGGACACAGCGCCGCCGTGGGCCCCCGGACTGAGCGATTCATCTTTCACCTGGAGTCTGACTACGGCATCAGAAGTGCTTGCTAATCTCTCGTCCGACAATCGGCACAACACCGTGGAAGTGCTGGGCCGGCACGGTGGCCAGAGCTACGTCCAGTGACCGAGCTCTCAAAGGGCACCTCCTGGCCGAGAGCAGAGGCGACACATGGCCCTAAGGTGAGCCAGGCACCTGTCAGGGGTGCTAAAGCTGACTGTCCCTGGCACGCCACCACGCCACCCCGCGGCCTTCTCCCGTGGGGCCACCGCACGCCGTGCCTCTCGTCCCTGCAGCCTACACGCCTGTACATGGGCAGGAGGCCAGAGCTGGGTGAACGAACGAGGAAAGCAGCTCGGACCCACGACGAGACACGGAGTGAGGCTGAAGCCACGTGGCTGGGCACAGGCGCAGCGGAGGATGGAGGAGAAGGGACTGCGACATGGCCATCCGCCCTGCGGGGTGATTTCTCACTTTCTGTCTCTCTGTCTCTCTGTCTCTCTCTGCCCCTATAGCACAAACCTCTCTAAAAAAAAAAAAACATTCCGATATGGGAAAGACAGGCCCAGCTGACCTGGCCAGGAGCGTGACGCTCCTCACCGACGCCAGCCCGTACAGCAGCTTCTCCTTCTCCTGGGCCAGCGCCGTCTCCTGGTACCGCTGGAGCGTGTAGTTCCAGGCCCGCTCATCACCCGCGCTCTGCATCCCGTAGCGGTACACCAGTAGCCTGAGGTTCACGGGCAGGCTGCGGGGAGAGGCCGGTCTCAGTGACCGCGTGACCAGCTCTCAGGTCAGAGGCGGCTAAAAGTGACAGCCAGGTGACACTGACCTCCTGGTCCCGTTGAGCCACTCCTGGAATAACTGGGAGGCGCTGTTCAGGGCATCCGGGTCCCCCATCTTGCACGCCAGCCCCAGCACGGAGGCTCGGAGCAACCTGAAACACAGCCGGGCCCGCAGAGCCGCCATCAGCATGCTGCCCACGTCTTCAACACACAAATGTTAAGTGAATATTGGTTTAAAAAAGGTGAAAAATAACTTTGTGAGGTGGTCTCCAGTATCTTCCCATCCCAGAGAGTCTGCAATGCTCTTCACTTGACCTCGGAAGTACTCCTGAAATAAAAGCATCGTACACCGTGAGTGATAACAATTCGCTCTTGTCATAGTCGACAGCCCGATGGGATCTGTTTTTCCTGTTAGCTCAGAGAACGTCAGGCCTGCCCTTAGAGAGTCTTTTTACTGCGTTGTACTTTGCTTCAACCCTGATGTTTCTGTAATGTTTTATAAACGCTGGCTAAGCCGCTTTTAGCACCCGTCTCTTGCTTAGTGGGTTTAAGAAGCACAGCCGCCTACACGCCCTCACTAAGGGCAGTGTTCGAGTGTGGCCGGATAGTGAAACCACGGAATCTGTGCCTTCCACGGGCGGCATGTCCCTTGAGTCTCACTGTTACTGTGCACACAATCAGACAAGTGCCGACATTCTGTGTACAAAGGAAATTAAGACCTGCAAATATTAAATCATTTGCCCACGGCCTTTCACTTCATAGGTGGACAGGTAAAGGTTTGGGTTCAGAATTTGTTTAAAATTGCCAGGGCCCTGGGTCCAGCCGACGGCATGGTGGTTAAAGGCAGCTGAATCCCCCATGCCCAGACCCAGCGGCTCAGAAAACATGCCAGGGGCATGTGCCTAGAACCCCAACAGCAGAGAGAGACGGTGGAGAAGGGATTGCAGCATGGCCATCCCTGTGGGGTGCTTCCTTCCCCTCTCTGTGATTTTCTCAGTCAGCGAGCAAACACCACCTCTGGCAAAATTCATAAAACAATGACAAGGGTTCTGCTGAAATGTTAGAGAAATATAAAACCAAGTAAAACATCTCGAATAACTCTCGCGTGGGAGCAGCAGGTGGCATAGTGATTGAAGTGCTGAACTCCCACATGACTGACTGCGGTTCAAATCCCAGACCTGGCAGCGCTAAAACCACAACAGGTAAATAGATCAATAAATGTTTTAAAAAGAATGACTATCTCATAATAAAACCATCATGTGAAAATAACTGCAAGCAGAGTATAGACATGTAATGTATTTTGGTACGAATAAATTCATTTTAACATAGAACATTCCATTAAAAATAGGGGGGCCGGCAGGTGGTGTGGTGGTTAAAAGGTGCTGGGCTCCCACCAGATGGAGTATCTTCGAATCCCAGACCTGGGTGCTTCCTTCTTCCCCTTTCTCCCTCTGTGTCTCTGGTGAACTCACATGCCCTGTAGCAAATTAAGATAATGACACTACTAATAAAATAAAGAATTCTTTAAAATAACAGACTCTACTTAGTATTACCATTTAAACTGTGGCAGAGTTTAAATAAAGTGTATTGAACTTCTCGTAATCCTCCTGTACCCCTGTGAGTGGGGCACGGAACCTCACCCTGAAAAAGCGCCTCTTTGCCCTGAGTAGCCTAGACGCTGCACTTCCCTGCAGTTTCACGATGCGGGTGGTGGCTTGGTGTCCCGGGCCCCCCTCTCAGAAGCACCCTGGCCCACAGCGGAGCGCCGGCCCGTACCTCGACCACCGGGTACAGCTCTGGGTCGTCCTCGAACATGCTAACGATGTAGGTGACAGCTGAGATGGCTCTCTGCCAGGGCAGGAAGTCCTCCTCTTTGCTGAGGTACCTGGTCAGGTTCAGCGCGGCCTTGTAGTTCAGAAGCTGAGCTCTGAGGAGAGGAAGCACGGCTGGGAGTGGAAACCCTGCTTCTCGGTTCAGCCCCGGAAGGTCTCGCAGCGACCGAGTGAGGAAGCCGGGTAGGGACCCGAACCACTGCCAGGGACGGGTAGGTGCCGCTACTCCTGCGGCCAAAGGGCAGCAGGCCAGAGACGCTTTGGGAACACGACTGGGGCCGAGGTCGGATGGGACAGGAGCCAGAGCCAGGCAGCGAGCAGTTAATACTGGCAGGTGGGGACTTTAAATTCTGGGGCCACAAGCTGGTGGGGACACAGCCCTCCCCCTGGTCACTGCGAGTTACAGAAAGGACACACATCTGTCTGTGAAGGGGAAATAGAGGAACCTCGCCAAGCGGGATGTCCGAGCTGAACCCACATGTTCCTTCATAGCACCTCCTGCTAACGCAGTTCCTGGAAATCTCAGTAATCTTCCCAGATAAACACGGATTCGGGCCAGTGGGCAGCGTGGTGGTTAGGGCACTGCACGCCCATGTGGCTGACCACGGTGGTTTTTTTTTTTAATTTCAAAAATAAAAATGGATTTTTCTCTTTTACAAAATTTTAAGACACTATTGACATTCCAAAGTTTCAACAATCCAGTTTCTTCTCCTTTCAAAGGAATCTTTTATTTTTAGTTCATTTGTTTGTGTTTTCTTCTTCTTCTATTTTGCTATATGGCATGCACGCTCTCCAGAGAGAGACAGAGAGAGAGAGAGATAAGAGGGTCAGGAGCCGGCCTAGGTGCCCTCAGGAACCCTAGCATGACGGTGACACAGCTCATCAGCCCGACACAGCCTACTTGGCAGCCCAAGGCCACATGGGACGCCGCATCTGGTCTCTGCCCTGCCCCGAAACATCAGGCGAGGAGGCAGTGTGCCTGCCATCCCAGCCACTTCCAGAGGCTGAGCCAGAGCACCGCGCCAGCGAGGCCCGGTCTAGAACGTTGTCAGTAAGAAGCTGTGAGGACCAGCCCCAGAGCACCCTGGGTAAGCACCATGCGTCAGGACCAGAGCCCACGCCGCCGACTGCCCGTTCAGTTCCAGCCCCAGGGGCCTGAAAAACACCTGGGCACGAGTGTACCTTCCTAGGGGAGGAGAGCTGGAGCAAGGGACTCTGTCTCCCATGCACAAGTGCACATGCCCTTGGACAACAGCAGCATGTTAAAGCAGAGGAATATAGGGCCTAGGAGAGCCATCTAGCCGCACCACGGGGCCTGCCAGAGGCCCCCGAGGAGTGCAGTCTCGTTCAGCTCTGCAGCCAGGGAGGTAGAACCACGGTGTCCCCAGCTCCTGTGACGTGGCATCCCTCCCAGATGCTGTTGTCACGGCGGCTGACCACAGGAAGATGTGCCACACGGCGGCTGCACCCCAGTGAGTTACCCTGCGAGTGCGGTCCCTCCCCTGCAGGGAATTCCCACCTGGCACCTGAGTGCTCATCAGCTCCAGGGCACCACAGCTCCCTCGCCTCATCCCAGCGACCTGAGCAAGGCTCAACAGTTAGGCCACAAAGCCTCACGCCAGGTTTGGCTTCAGCCTGAATTACTGCAACGCGTGGTTGGGGACTCTTATTCAGGCACACACCACTGGCCACAGGGTGGGAGGGTCTGTGCACACAGTGGGGCTGGCGTCCGTGCTTTGTCCCCGAGGCTCACTCGGCCTTTCACAAAGAACGTTAAGAGAAGCAGTAATGGGGCTGGCAGGTGGAGTGGTGGTTAAGGCACTGGACTCCCACATGGCCGACTATGGTTCGAGTCCTGGACCCGGCATGTTTCTCTCTCTCTCTCTCTCTTTCTCTCTCTCTCTCAGTCCCTCTCTGGTCAAATAAAAATAAATAAAGCTAAAAGAAGAAGAAGAAGACTATTTTAAAAATAATAAGAGAGAAGCAGTAGTGTTGTAAATAGTGGATCCGGACACTTTAAGTTAAGGCGATTCACCCGGGGATGGTTCCGTGCCAACCCCATGCTGTTGGTGGCCAAGCTCTTCCCAAACTCACCTCGCCAAAGCAAAAGCGTCGTCAATAAGACTGGCACGGTCTGCGGAAGAGAAGTCCTAGAAGAGGAGGGCAACGAGTTCAGACACGGCGTGAGTGGGGCGGGTGGCAGGACAAGGCCCCAGCGCTGTTCTTAGTGCAGGAGGACGGCTCCAGCAGCTCACCTTGTGGTTGGAGAGCAGACGTGCAGCTATGGAGTCCCACGTCTCTGGCTCGTAGTTGACACGGTAGAACCCAATGTGATCCGGGTTTATTTTGAGAAGACCATTCCCGCTAGTGCTGGAGGACGGCAAAGCGAGCCCTGTGAGGGAACAAGCGCTGATGAGAGACCCCAGGCACTGTGAGTGCAGCTCAACCCGGGGCAGAGGGAGTGAGGACGCCAGGCAAACCCGAGGCCTGAGCCCGGCTCGGCCCTGGGGCTCGCCCCGGCCGGCGCCGCAGTGGGTGAGCTGGAGAGAAGGCCGCGGTGGGGATGCGCGTCCCGGGACTCGTGCCCTCCGCGCCTCACGGACAGAGCTCGCCACGCGGGCAAGATGACTCGAGGCCGACCGGTCGGTCCTTCGTGAAAGAAGACGGTGCCTGCAGACAGAGAAGTCCACACTGCAGGAAAGCTCCCGGATTCCGAATCACACCGGAGCGATTACGCAGAGGGTATTCACAGGGCAGCCTGGGGGGACACCCAGGTAAGCACTGGCCACAGCGTGCATGTGTCACGTCAGCATGCAGGTTGGCGGAAATGGCCACAGCTGAGCAGAACAGTGACCTGAGCCCAGTACGGCTGGGACCCACAAGGACAGCCTGCGAGCCGACCCTGCCGCGGCCTCCTGACTGCAGTCCACGCCGAACGGCTCTTCCTGGCCCTCGCATCTCCACGGGGGCCTGCTACTTTTCACTTAGACTTTTCATACGATGTCTTCTCATCAGTGGATTTCCAAAATTAACGGTCTTTCTAAAGTAGCATCCGATATTTACACAGGGCTCTGGTATAGAGATCACAGAGGCCAGAATGGGAGGGACGGATTTGGGGACATGCACACCGAAGGGCCTGTCTGACTGTGGCTCACGCACTGTGACCTGCACGGACAGTGACGACTCGAGCGATGACAAGGACAAGAGCGCTCAGGACCCGCGGGACTCTGAGGAGGTTTTGGTCATTACGGTGTGGAGGTGATGGAGTAAAATCAAAGGCCAGGGCTTCACCGGAAAGGACCCATCTTCTGAGAGGAGGGAACGCAGGGACAATTTGGGGTTTGGTTTTTCATTTGCCAGAGGACGTGTCCACTCCGGAGAATCGGAGCGCTGGACAGAGGACACTCCGTGGGAGAGCTCTCACCACAATCTCCGCATCCTCGTGCTTCTGAGCACTCGTGCACACATGACGTTTCTTTTTTTCTTTTTCTTTAGACTTTTTCTAAAAGGGTGTGCACTTGCCAGAGAGACAGAGACAGAAAGTGAGAAAGCATCCCCCAGAGGGATGGCCACGCTGCAATCCCTTCTCCATCTCCTCCCAGGATTTTGGACATGCACAGCATACGTTTTAAGCCACTGGGTCCAGGACTTGAACTGTGGTTGACTGTGTGGGAGTCCAGTGACGTAACCATTATGCCATCTGCTGGTCCTGCCCAGTGTGTTTCTCAAGCTGCTGGGTTCGGGACTTGAACCAGCTGGTTAGCCGTGTAGGTTCTGTCTTTGCCCCACACCACGGGCTGGCCTGAGAGTGAAGGTTTCCGGCAAGCTCAGGCCGGTTCTGTAGGAAGGTGACGTCAATAGCAGTGTGGGGTATTCTGGGGGAGAATGCAGAGGCTAGGCGTTTCGTCCAGATTGGCCGTGGTAATACACCCGGGCTGGTGGAAGCGGCAGAGGAGGCGTGTCACGGGCGTCACGGGGAGCAGAGACCGAGCTGTGTCCACCTCCATGCCGGATGCCCACGCGGGGAGTGGGAAGGCCTTCATGTGTGAAAAATGGGCTTGCTAACAGAGAAGAGGAAGAGAGGGAGGAGAGAGGGTCTGAGCTCGGGAAGCGGTTGCGAGGCCTGGAAGCGCTTGGAGACACACAGGTTTTCTCACTAGAAGAGCCAGCTCTCCAAGACGACACGCAGGCAGCTTTCAGACTGTCAGCCTCCCCTCAGCACAGCCCTCCTCCCCACCGTCACTCGGCCGTGGACAAGCTGGTGACAGGGCTGATCCCGGGGGAGTGTCTCGCCCCACAGGGCCACATGCTGCAGGAGTGTGGGCTTCGAGTTTGACAGACCGAGGCTGGAATTAGCTTCATGACTTCCTCGCCGTGTGACCTTGGCCCGATCATGTGACCTATCCGTGTCCTTCTCCATGGGGCATGGGGAATACAGCCCCCCCAGGGCTGCTCTGAGGATTAAAGGAGTTAACACAGGTAGTGTGTCGGCCCCTAGCTACGCAGTACCGTATGTCAGCAGGTGGTCACCACCTCCCAGAGGAGGGTCCGCCAGCACCATGGACGGCGGAGCACGCAGGACAGCGCGGGGCAGCCTGCCCACACCCTGCTGACCCTCACGCCGTCCCTGGGTCAGCTGTCAGCCCTCAGGCTGAGACCCAGGACATCCCCACTGAGGGCAGTCCACCCACGGGCTACTTCCCGAGCCATCGCCACTGCCAGGCTGCTTGCACCACGGAGGGCGGAGCCCAGCTGGACACGCGTTCCAGGCACGTGGGGCAGGGGCGCCCGACTGCCCTGTTAGAACCCACCTCCCCACTCAAGCGCTGTTACTTGTTCTTCATGGAACACTTGGGAAGTTTTAAAAATAAAGAACATAAAAATGACCATGGCAGCAAAGCTGTGTTAGTCTCTGCGTGTGTGTGGGTGTGCACACGTGTCCTCCGCGGGCACGGATGGGGAAACTCATCGTGGTGTTATTCCCGTTAGGCCTGCAGAGCCTGACTCACCTGAAATGGGTTGGGTCGTGCCTTACAGTTTCATCTGCAGACTTGAGAAGGTGAGCCTACCGAGCACGCGACACTGAGTGTACGCACTGTCTTACTCTGTGTCTGGCCGGTGCGTGCATAAATACATTGAACGAGCTGTCTCTGGCTAAGAGGCTTGCCTAGGAAATTCTTTTTTAATCTTTTACTATTTGTCTAGATGGTAGAGAAGACTGATCATGAATTACTTTTTCAAAATTTCACCCAAAGGCTATTTAATTCCAACCCTAGATCAGTAACAGCATGAACGGCAGTTCTCTGGCGATGCTGTCTCCTACACGGAACCGCAGCGGGCCCGCGGCCCCGAGGAGGAACCTCTCCACGGCACGTACGCACGGTGCCGCACGAACCGTCCAAGCTGGCTACTGTAACCGCGCCCACGGCAGAGCTCACGCCGCATTCAAGTTCGTGCATCACTTCAGTGTAGGATGGCCGGAGTCGCGAGACCCGTGCTTTTCAGTAACGACACAAACGTTATTGGAGAACTAAGCAATTCGAGTAGGGTGCGTTTTGGAGGTTGGGGCCCAAGAACGCAATCTCAGTCTCTGGGAGGGAGGCTTGCAGGAGCCCTGGGAGGTGGACCGGCTAGTCATTTGTGGCAAAATTGTCAACAACCCCTGGGCGCAGCTGTGGCCGGAGGGCCGGCCTGAGAAGCTCCCATGCATACCAGGCCAAGAGCCAGACTCGAGAGCTGCAGTCGCCCCAGAGGGCGCCCGCCGTGCTGGCTTCCCCGCTGGG